AATTTAATTTTCCCAGCCTCATGTAAAAAGAGAATAAAAGGGGCTGGTGGATGGTGTGATGGTTAAGGTGCTGGACTCCCACATGGTCGACAATGGTTCGAGTCCCAGCCCTGGCAGCTTGATTTTTCACTCTCCCTTTCTCTCTCTCTCTGGTCAAATTAAAAATTAATAATAATAAGGGACCAGCAGTTAGCATAATGGTTATGTCACTGGACTCCCACGTAGTCACCCGCAGTTTGTGTCCCGAACCCGGTGGCTTAAAACTCATGCCGGGTGCGTGTGCATGCATGCCCAAGATCCCGAGAGGAGAAGGGATTGCGGCGTGGCCATTCCCCCTGGGGAGTGATTTCTCGCTTTCTGTCTCTCTGTCTCTCTCTGTCAGGCGAGCACACACGCCCTCTAGCAAAAAAACTCTCAAAAAATTAATAATAATAACATTAAATAAGTAATCCAAAAATAGAGAATAAACATATAATTCATAAGGATGTTTAAAAAAGGTACAGCTACTTGAGACCAGCAGCTGGCGTAATGGATATGTCGCTGGACTCCCATGTAGTCGAGTCCCAGACCCGGTGGCTTAAAACCTCTCCAAAAAAGAAAGGTATAGCTACAGTCACGCAACGGTAGTGTGCCACTCTGCGATGCTGAAAGTCATAAGGGTAGAGTAGAGTTCTGTTGCCAGGTTTACCTGTACATGCCAGGCATGCATGTGTGTGTCCATGAACCTGACTGGGAGGCCTGCGGGAAGAATGTGTGAGACCCTTCTCCTTTTCTCTTTTGTTCTCTCTCTCACATAACAAATTTCGAAGAAAGAATTAATATTAGGCTCATACATAGTTTTTCCTCTACAAAGTTCACTTTTTATTCAAAGTGTGGTCTCACACAAACTCATGAGAAATGCAGATTCTCTGTCACTAATAAAAACATTATTTCATTAAGTTACCTGGTGATTCTTTTTTTTTAAGATTTACTTAATTTAATTTATTATCATTTTTTTAATTAGCTTGCTACAGGGCATGTGTGTTCACCAGAGGGAGACACAGAGAGAGAGAGAGACAGAATGAGAAAGCAAGCTGCCACATCTGGGACTCAAACCTTGGTCACCCTTGTGAGAGTCCAGTGCTTTAGCCACCATGCCACCTGCTGGTCCCTCCCTAGTGATCTGACATACATTAAATGTGGAAAGACCAGATCTAGTCAATAACAGATGGGAAGTAACAGTAACTTCTCAAGAAAATTGCCTCTTTACCTATTGTTCGAGAAGGGAGATACAGACAGGCAAGGGAACAGGCCTTCAGAAGAAGATACCTTCTTGGCTCCTGAGAACTAGTGATATCAGGGGAATAAGAGAAATGAAGATTTTTTCTACTGATAATTCAGCCTCTAGCCCACTAACTCGAGTGGTAGGAAGTCTTTCAAGCCTTCTGTCTCTGTCTCTGATTCTCTCTACCTCTGTCTCTGTCTTCTCACTTTTTTGTAATTTTTCTTTATAAAATTTTTTAAGATAAAGCATTTTCTTGGCTTTCAGCCCCTCTTTTCCCTTTTTCTTGTTAATAATCTCTTTTTTTTTCTTCTCTTTTTCTGTTTCTTAGTTGTTGTTGTTGCTGTTGTTCCTCTCTCTGTATCCTTTTCTACATGCTCCTGGACTCTCAGATTGAACTTCAAGATTGGGAAGAAACACACCATCCATCAGATGACTAGAAATCACTGCGGGGCCACAAGAAATATGGGAGAGCAAGAAAATATCTCTCCTCCAAGGGAAAAGAATAATTCCTCTTCATCCACAGATAGTTCAATAGAAATCATGGAAATGTCTGATAAAAAATTTAGAACATTCGTAAGGGTGAAGCTAACAAAGATAGAAGAGAAGAGAGACAATGAACTGCAGAAGAGAAAGGAGAAAGGAGCTGATGAGTTCCAGGAGGCGAGAAAATTTTTGTAAGATCTAAAAGAGGAATTACACACTTTACAAAAGAATCAAATGGAATTGTTAGAGATGAAGGCTATAATACAGGAAGTCAAATTTCCCTTGAAAGTATTAAAAGCAGACTAAATCATACATAAAATAGAATCTCAGACATAGAAAAGAAAATTGCTGGCCTAGAAAAATCCACCACAAAGACTCAGAAAATTGACCAAAAAAAAGAGGATAATTTTCAAGAAGTGCTAGATACTGTCAAACATCCAAACATCCAGATAATTGGCATCCCAGAAGGCAAAGAGACTCATAAGGGCATTGATAATATATTCCATGAAATTCTGCAAGAAAACTTTCCAAACCTAGAGAGGCACTCAAAGATCCAGTCCCAAGAAATACAAAGGACCCCAAATAGAATCAATCCAAGAAGATCTTCTCCAAGATACATTATAGCCAGACTGACCAAAACCACAAAGACAAGATGCTAAGATTGGCAGGAGAGAAATGGCAAGTTACCTAGAAGGGATATCCCATCAGGCTAACAGCAGACCTCTCATCGGAAACAATGTGACAGAGGAAAGAATGGGAAAATATATTCAAAGTGTTACGGGAAAAGCAATTTCAACCAAGAATACTGTACCAGGCAAGATTATCCTTCATATGGGAAGAAAAGACAGAACATTCTCAGATACACAAAACCTGAAAGAATTTGCCAGCTTCCAGACCAGATCTCCAAGAAGTTCTCAAAGGAGTGCTATATCAGGACAATTAAATGTAGAAACACAAAAACAAGAGTTCAAAAACTAAGAAAATGGCCAACTTAGTCATAGGGACAAGTCTAGAGTTGAATATTATATGCTAGAATTCAACCAGGAAGATCGAACAACAACAGAAGATAGATTATAAGTACATGAGACTGAACTGGTGAAATAGCATTCTGTGACTTTTGACTAAAATATTGCTGCTTCTAGGCTTTGTTGTCCAGTTTTAGGAGTTTTTTTTCCTGTCTTGAGCTGTCAATAGGTTCATGTATCTACTGTTTGAACAGCACACTAACCTGTTTCTAGGCTTTAAGTTTTAAGCAAATTTCCTTACCAGTTCAAAACTGCTTTCCTTGAAATTACCAGCCGAACTTTCTATTGAAAGTAGTTAGATTATTTAAGAAATTGTGTAATCAATAAAATGTGGGGGGAAAAGGAATGGAAAACAACTGTAGACACCAGAGATAGTGTGAGAAGAGGGTGGGAAAGGGCAGAGGTTCAGACATAGGGTTAAATATAAATGTGTGTGTGTGTGTATATATCTATATTTATATAGATATATACACACACACACATATATATATATATATAACTATAAATGGAAAATTATTGATGATAACATGTATGATTAAGCCACTACGCAGTATATTCTGGATAGGAAACCACATGCTATATGCTGTGACAATGCTTAGGGGATGAATGTAAATTAATTAATTAAAAAAATAGTTTCAGGAGAAAAAACCCCACAAAAACTGTTTTTCTTGAAATTTAAAAAAACGCATATTTAATGACTGCAGTAAGCTACATAGCCCCAGCTAGGTGCTACTTTATAGTATGTTCATTCTACTCACTGAGGTTTATGCCTAAAGGCAGATTGTGTTCATGTATATGTATATATCAGCTGTGCTCGATATTGGAAATATTTAGATTAATTAAGTTCATTAGCGAATCAATAAAATGGGAGGAAAAGGCATAGAAAGCAACCATGGATACCAGAGACAGTGTGGGAGGAGGGTGGGATATGGCAGAGGGTGAGAGATAGGGAATCAAGGATGGGAAAAAAAAAGCAAAATATACAAAAAACAAGAAATGTAAAATTTTTTATTGATGATAACATGTATGTTGATGTGCTTGATTAAACCAATATACAGTTTATTCTGGAGGGAAAATCTCATTTTATATCTTGTAATGATGTATAGTGAATTAATGTAAATAAATAAATTTTAAAAAAATTCAAAAAAAAAAGAAGGGAGATACACATTATCTCACCAAAGAATGTGAAATTGGATTACAGTCAGTTCTGTAAGAGAAGGAAATGGTTAAATAACAAAATGGTAGGTGAGATAAATGTTAGAATAGTAACAGTCCAACAAGATCTTGTCTTACGGGACATATTTTCCATTAGTCTGCCACATCATTATATTGTATCTTAGTCTAATTCACTAGTTTTGCAACTTTTCTTAAGTTGGCAATCCTCTCAGGACCATCCTTCCAAAAGTCATCATTAAAATGAACTTCTTCCTAGGGGAGAACTTTGGGTGTAGGGAGAGAAGGGAGGCTGCTAATGTGTTTCTTAGTTTTTTCCTATAGATGAAAATGCTGGTACTAATTGCGTTGTCAGGATGGTTTAGATACTTTCGCTTTAAGAGTAAGAGGGGCCAAGAGGACTTCCACATGGTAGACTATGGTTCAAGTCCCAGACCCAGGGGCTTGAAATTCATGCCAGTGATGTGTGTGGCCCAACTCCCATGAGGAGAAAGAAGGACAAGGAATTGTGTATGGCCATTCCTCTTTGGGGGGAGGGGAGAGTGATTCTCACTTTCCCACTCACTGTCTCTCTCTCTCTCTCTGTCTCCAGGGAATGCACGTGCCCTGTATCAAAAACATTAAAAAAAAAAAAAAGTCATAGAACCATTGAGTCCAGAGACGTCAGGGAAGTAATAACTGAGGCTCAAATCCTCACTGAAGGACACCCTGAGCTCACACTCAGCTAGGAAGCCTGGGTGACCCCACTCAGCATATTACACCTTTAACAGGGAAGAAGATAGATTTTAACAAAATGTGGAAGTAAGTTGAAGAAAAAAAGCTCTTTACACGTTTATATATGCTGGACTTTTCCTTCAGTCACCTCAAACCGAGTATCGGTGGCCCCCTCATCTGTTATTACCCCTGTAGTAACACAGCCTTTAAAGTTCAGCTCTCTTAGCTGCTGACAAAGGGGGTCTGGGCGCTACCTACCGAGTTAGGGAATCTGTCCCTGTGAGGGACAGCCGGCTAACGTGACGCCGGCCCCGTGCGCCATCCCTCTCTCCACGTCTTACCTGTTCCTAAAGTAGTACTGATTTGCTACGAAGGTTGAGCGAGCCTGCAGCCTGGCTAAGGTGGCCATCGCCTCTGGGTCTGGGGTTTACCTCTGGTGTTACTCTTGGTCTCCTTGGCAACCGGGCTAAACCATCGGCCCGTCTCCGGGGGGGGCGCAGAGGCTCGACTTTTAGTTCACGCTTCTTTTCTGGCACCTTGCTTATGTTCAAAAATAATAGCAATAGACTTAGGAGTTTTTTTGTAGCAAAAAAGTATACTCTATCTGCCTGGATCTTTTCCGTGCGTGCACAGAGGCGACAAGAGGAAGGAGAAAGCAGCGGGGGAGGAGAACGAATGGTTGCTTCGGCCATCCGGTTTCCTCCTCCAGCCTGCTTCCGGAAGCTCATCTCAAAATGCTGAACTGCTCCTTCCAAGTAGCGGGTGCTTTAGTAGTTGGAGTCTGTTCTCGGGCCTGAGCCTCGAGGCCAGGCTCCTGGGTGTCGTTGATGTTCGGGGCCGCCGGGCGCCAACCGATCGGAGCTCCAGCCGCCCGGAACAGCTGGTGAGGCTGGCGGCCCAGGGGTTGGGCGATCTGGAAAGGGTGTGATGGCCGGAGGCCGCTGGACCTGGAAGGGAAGGGGGAGGGTGTTGGGATGAGTGTTGAAGACGTCTAGGCCTTTCTGTCCCTCGTGTCTGGAATGAACGCGATTTGAGGGAGGCATCGAGGTGTGTGCTAAAGCTTTGTGGGAGAATACAGTACACGTTTGCCGATTCCTTGTCCAGCATTTGGGGTATTTTAGGAGGCAAGTTCGTTGTAGTGCAGGAGCAGTTCATCTCTCCCCCCCTGATTCTTGACAGAACTAGGGAAGGGAATAATTTGTCTTGATGTAGGCCTTATCCCTCACTTCCCTTTTAACATTTACCTGATTATACCAAATGTGTTGGAAGATCAAATTCCTGAAATCTAGTTCAGTAGTGGAAGAGATGTCATTCACCCCTCTCATTTGGGTGGTGGGGGGGATGACCTTCCTGACCTTCCTGTTTCCTCCACCTTGAACTTCCAAATGAGATTGTGTTGAGTGTTCTTAAAGAAGTAATGGTGGTACTGAATTTGCAGTTTGACTGTGTCACTTGCATGCCCAATGCCACTTTACAATATATACTTTCACTTTTCAAAGTGCTTTGATAAGTTAACACACTTTATCCTTCTGACAGCCCTGTGATATCAGAATATCACAAGCACAGAATACCTGCGTCCCAAGGTCGCCCCACACATTTTGGATCTCTGTTTGAAAACTCTGTAATACCTCCCCATCCTTTTCTCCTGGGAGCATTCACAAGACAAGTAGTGAAACAGATAAGCAAATTTCCCACTGAAAATCCTCAGACAAGATATTTTGACTAGTCAGTGAAAAAATGTAGCTAAAAAGTATGTATTTGTTCCTAGATTCTGCAGAAAATGGAACATGGGAATTCTACTGGTCCATGATCTCAAAGAATTTCTTTCGTATCTATCACTGAAAAGTTAAAAGACTATCTTCCTCAAAATATTTTGAGTTGGATCTGATTATTTGTAGTTCATTTTGTAATTTTCCAGTGAGAAAAGTAAGGAGCACTTTATTTCTTAATTATTTATTTTAATAATTATTTTATTGACTTTATTTTAATTTCACCAGAGAGAGACAGAGTGAGAAAGAGAGAGAGTGAGAGAGAGCAAGCCACCAGGTCCTGGACTCAAATCACAGTTGGCCATGTGGGAGTCTAGCACCCTTAACCTGCCAACCTCATTAAGAAGCACTTTATTAATGAGCCATTTTTTAAATGGTATAATTTGCATAGAATAAAACCCATATTTCTTAAGTGCTTAATGTTATTAGTTTTGGCATTTACACATACTTGTGTAATCTCCACTCCAAATAAGGTATATGGCATTTCCCTCACCCTCGATCCCTTTCGAGGGTGTATCTCTTAATGTTTTACCATTCTTGTTAAGGGAGACAGACAAAATGTGTTATATAGATTAATGTGCTCTTGCTCTGGTGATACTGATTTGTAGGATAGGTGACTATTTTAAGACTATTACTTGACTCCATTCCATTACCGTCTACTTTCTTATATGGTTAAGTATCTCTTTATATTATAGAGAAACTTTCAGTTCTTTTAATTTTTTTAGAATTATTTATTTGAATTTATTTATTATTATTTCAAAATTTTATCTGTGAAGAGAGAGAGAAAGTAAGAAAGCAAGTTGCCATGTTTGGGATTTGAACCATGGTCTAGCACCTTAATCACCATGCCACCTGCTGGTGCACCTTTCAGTTCTTTATTTTTGTTAGCTTGTTTGTTTTTGAGAGAGTTTTGCCATAGAGTACACACACTCGCCAGAGAGACAGAGAGAAAGAAAGGCGGAAGTCCTCCTCCTCACCCCAGGGGATGACCACACCACAATCTCTTCTCATTCATTCTCCTCTTAGGATTTTGGGCACTCACGCATACGTGCCTGGTGTGAGTTTCAAGCTGCCAGGTCTGAGACTTGAACCACCGTTGGCCATGAGAGAGTCCCATGCCTTAACCACTATGCCACCTGCTGGTCCCCTTCAGTTCTCTTTTAAGAGCTTATCCTGTTTTCACTTGATTGCATTCATAGAACTCATCCTTTCTTATGGCACGAGTTAACAGCATACTACCTAGTTCTTAGTGTGGATGAAATTGTAAAATCATGTCTGATTTGTCATATTAAGTGTGCTCCAGAATACTGGAACCTTTATTTTCTAGTCGATATGCACACCTTCCCATTCATTCAAAATTTCTTAATGGTATTTTCAGTAATAAAACCTGAGTGCTACGGGAGATACTACTAAGTAAGTTTCTTGGTGCCAGGTTTTACATACATGTCATCTCATGTAAATCTTTTGCTCTAAGTTTATTATTCTTTGCACTTTAGATAAAAGTAACAGGCAAAGGCAGTTTAATTACCTTTCTTAAATGTCATATTTGCAGTATGATTCCAGTTTACTAGAGAATAAGATACAGTGTCTTAAAGAATAAACTAGAAAGTACATTCCTAGATTTGCTAGCCAACCTGAAATTCCTGATACATTCAACTCCCATCTTGACTTTTTAAAACCTTTCTCCAATATGGAGGCTAGTTTTTCAATTTGAAGGTATCAAGTGACGAACCATAGATGATTTCTTTATTGAACTGTGGTTTTCTATATATTATTGTTATGTGACCTTGCTTTTTAAAAAAAAAAAAAAAAAAAAACATTAAAAATTGTATTGACTCTGGACCTTTGTTTTTGCAGTTTCATTTTCATTTGGTATTCTGATTTTCTTTAGATCTGGAAAACTGCATAATGATAAATGTCAATAAATGTTTTTTTTTTTTTTTTTTTTTTTTTTTTTTTTTTTTTTTTAATGAGAGAGAGGGAGAAAATGTAGATGGTTTGATAGGTTTAGTTTATTGTGATCTTCCTGCTCCGGCCCCCAGTTAGCCAGTATTACAGTTGTGTGCCACCATGCCCGGCGTGTTTTGGTTGATCCAGGATGGGAACGTGAATCTCTCATGTGGTCCCAGTCTGATGCAGCAGCCCCTCTACTTGCGTCACCGTCACTAGGCTGATACTCATTTTTGAGTTCTTTTTGTTTGTTTTTTTTTATCTTGAGCTCAGTTTTGTACTGTTGATTTTGTTTGAGTCAGGTTTTCATTTCAACCATATTAAGAATCAGTGTAATTCGCTAGCACAATTTTAGGCAAATAGTTCATTTTAATATAACTTCCTAGCATCCCTATTTATGTCAAGCAGGAAACCGGTAAAACTGTCTTTGATAATTACTCTTCACATTTACTTAACTAAAAACTTAGATTGCTTGGCTTGTTCATGTAGCAGAAAGTTTGAAATCTGGAGAGTCTACAGTTTGTAGCCATATTTTTCTATTTTTTGACTCATTTAGTCATTCATTTGTTAATTCATCCAAAAGATAGACTTATTCATTCATTCATTCATTCTAAAAGAAACATGGAGAGAGAGAGAGAGAGAGAGAGAAGCAAATAGAGACAGAAGAACCCCCAGCAGTATCTTCATGCCTCAATCTATCCCCATTCCCAGACAGCAAAGATCTTAGCATGCATGCATGTGCCTGGTAGGCTCAAGGGAGGTCCCAAGATGTGAACCTAGGACCTTTCTCATATGAGTCCAGTTGCATTGCACTGGATTGCATTGCACTGCACCACTCTGTGTCCAACAGCATACATATTTTTAACATCTGTGTGCTAGGTACTTGTAATTAATAATTCAGTTGTCTTCATTCTCATTCCTCTTATAGGGATCCAGGATATATTACATATTCAACAATTATTTATTGAGCAGTTCCAATGTTTGAGCAATAATAAAAAAAAAGACTCATTTTCCACCTACTTCAAGTTTGACTAGAAGCACTTGCATATATGCAAGTTGACACTAAGTAGAATAAATAACTTAAATTCTAAATGTTTTATTTTCCTTGTTTTAGACTCTTGACTTTAAGTAGTTTTTCATTCAGTGGTTTACACTTTTGAAAGCAATGACATGATAAGGAAAGTTTTGAATGACTTCAGGTCACTAAATAACTAAGGAGTTTGCCATGTTAAATCACTAATTTAGAAAGTAAAATTTGATTTTTTCCTTAAAGCCAGTTATGGTTTGGTTTTCAACAAGTTGCCAGGGTAAGGAGGAAAGAAAACTTAATGCTAGTTCCTGTAGTGACTAAGGTGACAAAGAAGCAGCTGCCTACAGTCTCTACAGTTGAATACAGTTCAGTGGAACATTTATTTCCATTGAGGAAAATGAGTTTTCCTGTTTGGTGGAGAACCTTGTGACTCTTAACTGGGAAGGATTATTTTCTTTAATCTTTTCTCATTTATATCTGTATATTGTTAAGGTGGAAGTAGGACAGATATATGGCATTATTATTTTTTTAATTTGGGATTTTTAAAATTATTTTATTTTTTAGCTGCTGATTTAAGGAGTCAGCGAACTTTCTGAAATTGTAGGCAAAAATTTTGCAAATGTCTATTATTCTCCCTTTCACCAACATTAGAAAAGTTGAAAGCCTTTACTTTTACTATCATATTCTCGGAATTCAGTTTGCTTATGCCTTAAAAGCAGAATAATTTGTTATTTCAGTGATTGTTTTCTGGTACTTATGGGTAGAGATTGTTGAAAGATGAAATACCTCCTCCTGAAGTACCCCCACCCCCAGCTCACAAAATTCCTTCCAGGTACAAATTATGGCCATTTCCATTTTTAATGACTAGTAAATAGAATCAGAAGATAATTTGTCCAAGGTCTTGTGGCTAATGAATATAATAGAACTTAGCTACCAAATTTATAGCTTTAACTCCAAAGCTCATGTTATATGCAGTTTCCTCCTAGCCTTTATTTCCCCTAGACCATTCTATTTCATATTTATTGCATAGTGTTAATATAATGTTACAACAGAATAAGATAGTTTTCCCATCCCACCCCACCTTTTCAGAAAAAGAGATTCAGTTTACTTCTTATTAATGATTGAAATAAAATA